GATACGGTTCAGGTATTGCTGGAAATGAGGTATGATCATAGATGCCAGTATCTGTTGGATGTAGCGCTTTGCACTAACAAAGTTACCGTGACCAGGTCCAATGTTCTGGAAAACAACGAGGCCCAAGTGTTGGTTTTGTCCCATAGCACCCCAGATCATTAAGCTGGGACCACCCCATGCATCGACCTGCAGGACTTTGTTGTCAGCAAACCGTTGGTTGGGTCTTCTCCATATCTGGATTCTTCCATCACCTTGACTGACGCAAAAACGGATTTCGTCAGTGAATAGGACATGTCTCCACTGTCGCAAGGTTCAGTTCACATGTTGCTGAGCCCACGACAAAAGTTGCTGCAAATGCCTTGCAGAGGGGACTGGACGTCTTAAAGGTCGACGACATTGATGTTGTCCTTCTCGAAGACGACGGCGCAGTCTGACGTGAAATGACTCTCCCATAGTTTCCAACGAGATTTCGGGCAGATTCGGTCGCACACATGAAGCTGTCTCGCATTTGATTCCGTAGAAGGGCACGGTCTAGGCGTACTGACATCACTCGTGGTCGGCCAGTTTTGTGAGCATCGTGAGTATTACCCGTAACTTGAAAATCTCTTCGGAGTCGACATATTGTTGAGAGGGACACGCCTATGGCAATATACACATCTGTTGGACTCTCTCCCGCCTGCAATCTGCTGATAGCCCTTTCACTGCTTGCTTCTTTGAATTTGAGTCGGGGCATGGTCGCTGGCTCAAAACACTCAACTGAAGAAAGCGTTACGTCCTGTCAATTTATACCCCTCGGTCGGGTCAACACTTTTCAGAGGAAAAAAACTGCTCACTAATTGGCATGTTCAAGATAATTCTCAGTTTGCATTTTTTTTCTTCGCCACCATATTGTGACCTCATTTTATACTTTAAGAATTTGTCAGCATAGTGACATGAGCTCACAGCATTACTGAATACTAAAAAATCGGTCATGGCCTAGTCTAGCGAGTTATTAAATAACTGAGTCTGTAAGTATAGCTCGTTCACTTTCGTCTGACAGCGGTTAAAACGGAACAGAAACAAATCGTTCTGTGTAATCTCTCTGTGTCTTCGCAGGCGGTTCTAAAAGTTAAGCAACCAACAGAATCTAAAAAGCCATGCAAATTAATGTTACGGCACAATTTCCCTGATGGAAGCCTAAAGCAGGTAAATAGCATCCGAGAGATTTGACAGTACAGTATACACCTAAAACATTTAAAAGTTGACACATTTTCCTCAACACCACGCTTTTAAAGTTAGCCTAAGAAACACGGTTCAAGAG